TGGGACTACAGGCACCCGCCACAACGCCCGGCCATTTTTTGGTTGCAGCCATCATTGTTGCTTGGCGGGCCCGGGCTGGGGATTCGAACTCGCCACCTTAGGTGTATGTGGCTGGCGCCTTAGCTGCTTGAGCCACAGGCGCCGAGCCAGGACTTCAGTTTTTAGGAGAAATAAAAACCTGTATCTGAGTAGGCATATCCACTTTGGCATCTGAGTGTTGCCAGGGGATGGCGGCATGACTGGGGAGGAGGGCCCTCTGGGATCGGCACCTGCCAGCTAATACCCATGTCTCTCCTTTTCTCCTTCCATGGCTGTGAATAATGCAGAAATAGCACTTGTGGTAGAAGGAAGCTGGATATCCAGCTATTTTTCAAGTAGAAAAAACCAAAAAAGCTGACTTCCTTTGAAATATTTGCCTAGAGGTTTAAAAATTTAACTTGAAGGAACTAATACCTGTTTTAAAAATAATTAAGCTGCAGAACATTCATTTGGCTTGAAGTACTTCTCAATTAATATCAGCAAGTTTGGATGGAGGGGAAGTACCTACCTATAACAGTTTAGAAATAATGCTGTTAGAATCTGACTTGTCCAGCCCTTCTGGACTTTTACTAGCACAGAAGATGTCAAACTGGGCAAAAGGCCAAGTGACTTTTAATTTCTCAAAGTCCTGGGGAAACATCTGCGAGCTCTTCAGAGGAGAGGTAGTGAAGGCAGGAAGCAAGGTAGGTGCTGTTACCTACATTATAGAAAGTAGGGATCTGAAATCCAGCGAAGACTGTCTGTCTGACACACACATCTGCCAAGCTCTGGGAGCTGGATTTGAGCTAGAGGTGCCTGTGTCCTTGATCTTCAATGAAGTTGCATTGTCCTGACCACTGAGAGGACCACCTCCTAAACCGAGCCAATTTGGAGGCTGTGGACCCAGTGTTGCAACTTGTAGGCACCTTTGCTGCTGCCTAGGTCTATGCAGTCAAGGCCAAACCTGTGTAGATCCCTATGAACATCATTGTTGAGTAATTTCCTGAGGTATATGCATGTGTATTGAAAGATAATAGAAACATAGGTAAATTTGAAATGTATTATTTGTAGAAAGTCATCTGTTGTGCTTTATTAAATATGTGTATTAAATGTGAGAAAAGTTCTTCATTGTGTGGAATCTCATTGTGTCCAGCCAGGGCCTTACCACATTTTATTATCTTCTTTTTTTTTTTTTAAGACAGAGTTTTAGTATGTTGCCCTCAGTAGAGTGCCATGGTGTCACAGCTCACAGCAACTTCAAACTCTTAGGCTTAAGTGATTTTCTTGCCTCAGCCTCCCAAGTAGCTGGTAATACAGGTGCCCACCACAGTGCCCAGCTATTTTTTTGTTGTTGTTATCATTGTTGTTTAGCAGGCCCAGGCCAGGTTGGAATCCACCGGCCTTGTTGTATGTGGCTGGCGTGCTAACCACTTAGCTACGGGCGCCGAACCTTTCTTATCTTCTACAGTCTTAGAGATCAGGGGTTGGCCCTGTGATGTCATACAACAGGGAGGGTCATATAGGCCAGAGCTGAGTGTGTGCACGTCTGAGCACGAACACAGGTGAACCCACTTTGATACCTGTGGGGATCCTCTCAGTGCCCTGAAGCAGCAGGTGCCTTCCCACCTCCATGTAGCACTCACACAGGTACTTTGGAAGGTTTATTGGCCTGTTCTCGGGGGTTGAACAGCACTGTTAGTGAGTAAATGAATGACAAAAACTTATTTATTAAAAGTAATAAGAAGTGATTCTTTAAACTGATCATGATTATTGTATCACATTTCACATTTAGGTTATTAAATGATCTTTACCAGTCTACTCTTAAATCTTAAGTAATACATGCTAATTTGCAGATGGATAAGGTTTATGTTGCTGCCTACAAATAACCTGATAAAAAATGATCATTGTAGGCTGGACACAGTGGCTCACACCTGTAACCTGAGCACTTTGAGAAGCCACAGCCAGAGGATTGCTTGAGCTCAGGAGTTTTCGACCAGCCTAGGTAACATAGTGAGACCCTGTCTCTATAAAAAACAAAACAAAACAAAAATTAGCCCAGGCATGGTAGCACACCCTTGTAGTCTCAGCTATTTGAGAGGCTAAGGCAGGAGGATGGCTTGAGCCCAAGAGTCTCAGGTTGCTATGAGCTATGATTGTGCCGCTGCATCTCTATAGTGAGGCCTATCTCAAAAAAGAAAAAGATTATTGTAAGAAAAAAGGCCAGTGTTTTTGTTTTTGTGTCACTACATTCTCCAAAAATTTGTATTCTTTATTGACTGACAGTAGTTTTTTCATGCTTGAAGTAGACTTGTTCCTTGGAGCCTTGGATTTTGGGGGGATCTATGAGCTAGGGCCTAACAGAGGAAGGGTAGCTCCTTTCTTACCTATTCCAAATCTTGAGGCTTTCTTAAGATTTAATTTGCCAGCACTCTGAGAGGTCAAGGAGGGTGAATTGCTTGAACTCAGGAGTTCAGGACCAGCCTGAGTAAGAGCAAGGCCCTCTCTCTACTAAAAACTAGAAAACTAGCTGGGTGTTGTAATAGGCATCTGTAGTCCCAGCTACTGGGAAGCTGAGGCAAGAGGAGCGCTTGAGCCCAAGAATTTGAAGTTGCTGTGAGATGTGATGACACCAGGATGCCCAGGGTACTCAACCCAGGGTGACAGACTGAGACTCTATCTCTCAAAAGAAAGAAAAAAAGAGAGAGAGGGTAGCGCCTGTGGCTCAAAGGAGTAGGGCGCCAGCCCCATATGCCGGAGGTGGCGGGTTCAAACCCAGCCCCAGCCAAAAACTACAAAAAAATAAAAGAAAGAGAGATAATTTCAAGAAAAGACCCGCTACTAGAATAGAAACCACTATTCTGAGCATCCATAAATAAAAAGAGATATAAAATATTTTTTAAAGCAGCCCCTTTTACTATCTCTTTGGTAGAAGAATAATGTATTCTCTGTCTAGGGTATGTTTTTTCTCATTGACACCTACTGCTGCCATTAAACACAGGAAGTATTTCCCATTTCACTTAATAACTTCAGCCAGGCCCTTCAGCCATCCTCATGGCTTGGGATGGTGCCTGGGCCTTAGGCACAGAGGCTGTAGGTAAGCTCCTCATTGTCACCCCTGCCCCACGTTTCTGTTGATCCTCGTCTGGTCCTACTGCTGCACTCTGGACATGAAAGAACCACTTAGCTGCTGACCACTGGCCAAGGCCAGAGAGCAAGGGTCCTCAAACTTCTTAAATGGGACCAGTTCACTGTCCCTCAGACTGTTGGAGGGCCGGACTGCAGGCCCCGGGACAAGTTGGCTGCTAAGCAGGATAGGCAGTGGCAGCAAAAACACCCGGCAGGCTGGATAAATGTCATAGGTGGGCTGCATGTGGCCTGTAGGTTATAGTTTGAGGATGTCTGCCAGAGAGCACTTTCACATTTGGGCCTTGCATGAAGACTGCAGGCTGGAGTCATTACATAATGACTTTGGAGTTGGTCTGAGAAAAATATGTGTTTAAAACCATTGCTTTTGATACCTACAGAGGGGAGTCGGGATTTAGGAAAAGTCCGAGTCTTACAGGTAGACCTGGGTCTGCTTCCTGGTTTTCACTTCTTGCCTTTGGCTGATCGGGTGGTCAGTACCTGTGTTCACACAGCCTCAGGAGACCAGGTAGGATAGTAGGCACTCCAAGTGCTGGCTGCTCTCCCCCGTGACGTTTAGCACAGTTGTTTTGCTGGTCAGTTTACTTACACAGGAAAGGGAAAGCATTGTGGTGCCTCCTTCTGCTCTCACCACTGCAAAACCTTTCTCTTTGTAGCTCTGGACTTACTGGACAAAATGCTGACATTTAACCCTCACAAGAGGATCGAAGTAGAACAGGCTCTGGCCCACCCTTATCTGGAGCAGTATTACGATCCAAGTGATGAGGTAAGAGCCTGTGCTTCTTGCTGCTGCTTCAGGGATGTGGATCAGCCCATGTCAGCATCAGACCCAGTCCTGCTTAGACTGTCCTAAGAGGTACATGGCACCATACTTGGTCTTCCCAACATTCCCACTGCTTCTGCCCTAAGGACAAGTGCTATGAGACACAGCTTGAAACCCTGCCTCCTGAACCCCTTCATTTTATCCTAGAAGATCTGCTCTGGGCCACCTGCAGCAGTTGAGGGCAAGGGAAATGTGAGAAGCCAGCCTGGACATCTCCCACCATGGCCTGGCATGTGGATGTGCCATGTCTGGTACTGTTCTCTAGTGATGGGACACAAGAGCCTGTTGTGGTGAGAAATTGTGAGCCTAGAGGTGTGTGTGCTTGCTTTTCAGAGCAGGCTGGGCATCTGAGTAAAAATGCCGTGTGTCGGGCGGCGCCTGTGGCTCAGTAGGGCGCTGGCCCCATATACTGAGGGTGGCAGGTTCAAACCCAGCCCCAGCCAAACTGCAACAAAAAAATAGCCGGGCGTTGTGGTGGGTGCCTGTAGTCCCAGCTACTCAGGAGGCTGAGGCAAGACAATTGCCTGAGCCCAATAGGTGGAGGTTGCTGTGAGCTGTGATGTCACAGTACTCTACCAAGGGCAACAAAGTGACTCTTTCTCTTAAAAAAAAAAAAAAAATGCTGTGTGTCATCTTCCCTCCGGGACAGGCCTGTTGCCTCAGTTCTCTAATTCCTCTTAATTTATTCTTTGAGGATGATGGAGAAAAATGCAATATGAACCAAAAGTTTGCGTTGTTCTAATTAAGGCTCTTCTGCAGAGAGAACATAGCCTTCACATTCCTATTTTTAAAAGGGAGAGAAGTGGGGGGTGTTAAAATTAAGGGAGGAATGGAAAAGAAAGACTACCAAAGCTAGAAGCTAAGGTAGGAATAGTAGCTAGAAGTCAAAATGAGAAAGTGTTTTTATCAGCTTTCCTTTCCATATCCACTCCCTTCCTCCCTAGAAAAAAGTGAGGCAGCTTTCAGAGATCCCTGTAACCTTGTCAGTAATACCAGACAGGGTGGAATATAGGTTTGCGGCTCTTCTTGGCTTGATGAACTGGAGATTTCCTACTTCTCCATGTCCCAAGCTGGGGACAAGCTGGGGTGGTGGATGACATGCACAGGATACCTAGTGTTATCTCAAACGCATAGGGGATTTAGGACAGGCTGCTCATTCTCTTGTGTACGTGGATCCCTTTCTCCTCTTCCAGTGTCCAAAGCTTAGTAGGGAGTTTGGCATCCATGCTTCCTCCCCTAGAGGCCTTGTGTAAGATGCTGTGTGTGAGATCTGGATGCATAGGCACCCACTGATTGACAGTTAGTATCAATTATTGGCTTAGTTCTATAACATTGCATTAGTTTGTGGACATTTAAAAATCAAAACAGTACTAACTGGTGTATGTTGGGGTTCTTTGACCCAAATAGACAGATTATATATATTTTACTTAAATAGCTTTCCAATTATTCAGGGAGTATGGTAGAAAATAAAAATGAAAACGCAATAAAACAATTGTACAATGAAACATTGTAATCTCATTATACTTACTATCGTTAAAATTTTGGGGTATTTCCTTCCCTGCCTCATTCTCTTTATTTAACAGAAACATGGGCATTTTCCCATGATATTAATCTTCCTTGAAGCTTTGTTTTTAATAGTGCCATAATATTTCTTTATATAGTTAACATAATTTAATCAAATGCATTTATTTTAGCGTCATGGGTTTTGATTATATAAACATAACCATCACCCCTGCAACAACGTGTTTCTGTTATCTTAATATTCAGTGCCTTAAAACATTTAAAAGTGATCCTAGGATCTGTAATAAGTTCTGAAGAACACTTAAAACAGATTGAGTTGCTCCCAGATGTTTCGAGTCTTATGAGAAGGGTGCTTTCAGGAGCAGCACATGCGCATAGATGCTTATCAGACTCTCAGTTTCAAAATCTAAGCCATCATCATTTGATGAGTCTATGAAATATTTCTTTAACTATAACAACTTTTGATTACTAAATGTCTCTTGTTTTCTCCTAAAGCCCATTGCTGAAGCACCATTCAAGTTTGACATGGAATTGGATGACTTGCCTAAGGAAAAGCTCAAAGAGCTCATTTTTGAAGAAACCGCTAGATTCCAGCCAGGATACAGATCTTAAATTTGTCAGGTACCTGGAGCTTTAACCATTCACTTAATCCTAGCAAGGATGAGAGAATATGAATGAAATGTTACTAAGAGAAAAAAAGATTCATTGTATTACTCTTTGGTTGAATACAGTCATGCCTCAGTATCCATGGGGCATTGGTACCACGACTCCCCGAAGATAGTAAAGTCCATGTAAAATGACACACTGTTTGTATATATCCTATGCACATCCTCCAGTGCACTTTAAGTCATCTCCAGGTGACTTCTAATTCCTTATACAGGGTCTACACATCATTTCATCCATGTGGATTCAGTGCAGTACTCTGTGCACAGCAAATACAAGTGTTGGTTTCTGGAACTTTGTGGAATTTTTTTTTCCCCAAATACTTTTGATCCATGGTTTGTTGAGTTCACAAATATGGAGCCCACAGATTTGGAGAGCTAACTATATGGTTTTTACACTGATTGCTTCACGACTTAAGCCTGGAAATTAGTCTTTCACCATGGCTGAAAAATACCCTTGGAGTTCTTTAATTTCTGGCAGTTTACAAAGACATGAAGTTGATGTGAATTTAAAGGGGTGATTTTTAGAATAATGGCTGTAGTGAAACTGGAAAGGGTGAGCATGAGAGGAGTATCACAGAAGACTGTGCAGAGAAAAAAGAAGGGGAGAGGGGCAGCCCCAGGAGGAGGGAAGAAAGACTGCTAGGTGTCCCAGCAGGACACAGGTTCTCATGACTTGACTTGAGTTTCTAGGAGAATCCACAGTACTGGTGTGTGTGAAAAGGGTGTTTCACCCTTGTGCTTGTGAGGAAACGTAGGTGTCCCAGCTCGCTGCTCTCCAGGGAGCGGAGTAGGTGGCTGCTCAGTGGCAGTGTGATCACCAGGCACTCCCTCTGGTCTTTAAGACACTGTGTTCCTCAAGTAAGTCTGTTACTTTGTATTCTTTTCCAGTTCCTTTTGAAAAGTATTTAATTTAGAATTTAAAATAATTTAGAAAGTAACTTAGATCTCTTTGGGAATCTCCTCCTTTTTTAGAAACTAGTTGAGTAAAGAAACCCTCCTTTCTTCACTCAAGGGCAGTGAATGTGATTACTTGGAGCTGCTTGTTTGTATTCTACATTGTTCAGCTTTTGTTCTTATTCTTTCCTTGCTGACTGTCCTGGGCAGATTCTCAGTATATGAGCATCTCTCCGGAAAGGGTTCCCTTCAGGACTTCCTTCCTTCCATGGATAGCAAAGCCCCATAAATCTAGTATTTTAGAATTCTCTTGCCCACCAACTCAGCAGCTCCTTGGCAGGCCCTGGTTCTGTAATTGATGTTACTCACCAGGGGCCCAGACCCTGTTGGGCTCAGAGCAGGAGTGTGGGCAGGTGAAGCTGGGGCAGCGCCACCAAGCAGGTGTAGGCTGGACTAGCCCACCCGGGACTGACACGGGCCTTCATGGGAGCTGTGCAAGTCACAAGGGGTGGTGGCCTATGTGGGAAAATTGGTAGATTAAAAAAAAAATTAAGTTATAAAAAAAAGAAAGGAAGAAAGCACAAATCTTGATTCGGAGGATGTATGGCAAGAGGAGAGAGAATAGGTTTTGGGTTAGAACTGTGGAAATGGGGTGGTGCCCGTGGCTCAACGGAGTAGGGCACTGGTCCCATATGCCGGAGGTGATGGGTTCAAACCCAGCCCTGGCCAAAAACTGCAAAAAACTAAAAATAAAAAAGAACTGTGGAAATGAGCAATAAGTAAAGAATTGTGAGCCTGAGCAGAAGCAGTTCCTGGGGAAATGCTTGAGACAGAACCATGTTGCAGCCTCCAGGCTTCTAGCTCCCATTACTAAGAACAAAGAACCAGGGAAAGTGAGACAGAAGCCAAGAACAGATGTGGCCAGCACGGCCTCTGAGAGCCCTGCCAGCCAGGGAGTGCAGGAAGCAGTGAGGGTACGTTGAGAGTTTGGGTGGCAGAAAATGTTTCAGAAGAAATCTGGCATCAAGTTAGGAGGGGTTGGAATGACGGGAGACTGGAGAGGAAATCGGCTAAGACAAATCTGTGATCTTTCATACGGGGAGGGGCTGTAAGCCTTGGACTAGGGCTGTGGTGGTAAGAAGCAGTGAATTCAAGAGAACAGAGGAACAGTAAAGTTGGAAAGACTGCAGATTTCTAAACCCAGCGACTGGAGTGAGGAGGCTGCCCTGGCTTGGCCTGCTGTTAACACAGACACATGTACAAGCCCAGTGTGGAGCAAAGGGAGGGTCTCGGAGGTGCATGCTGGTGTGGAGCAGAGGGAGGGTCTCGGAGGCAGGTGTTTGTATGGCCTGAGGCTGCCACAGGCCCTGCAGGGCACTCCCTGAGGAAGAGACCCAGTCTCAGCAGAGAACTGAGGGCACAGAGCTGGGCTCCTCTTGTGTCACACACACATGCATAAGGTTCTGCGTACAGTGACATGCACCCTTGCATACTGATAGAAAACTAGCCCCAGCACCCAGTCATTTCATGCATCGAGCCCCCACCACACTTCCTTCGTGAGGCTCCTGAGCATACTCTCCAGGGTCACATTGAGTGTACAGACCCTGGCAGCCCCACGCCATTTTGTGAATAAAGTTGCATATAGCTGTGCACATGCTCCTGGGCTGTCCAACAGCAGTGTGGGCCAGTCCTCACGGATACAGATGGCCCTTCATGAAGCAGGTCTGCTGACTATAGGCCTAGAGGATGGAGCTGAGCAATGCTTGCTTTAGTGTTGCTTTCACGGGTCATTTTCCTTAAGCCAGTCAGTGGCCTAAAGTAGTTTCCCCATATCCTCTCTTATGTCAGTTCAGGCACACTACACATGGCCTGTGCTAAGTGCTGAGCTAGACACCGGGGTGAGCAGAACAAACAGGACCTAAATGTGGCTCCCAGGGAGCCCACGTACAGAAGAGGACACACAAATAGAACAGTTGTGTACATTTGTGTAAAAGAAATCTAGGATTGACATAACAATCACTGTTTCATCATTCATTTAATCAGCATCTGTCCTGAGGAAGGACACAGATGAATGAGACCCAGGCTCTGCTTTCCAGCAGGTTTGGCATCAAGAAGGATGTGAACAGCAGGAATATGGGTTGTAGTGTGGATGCCATGCCGGAGGGGTGGGGGGGGCACAGCACAGCTGGCCCCAAAGAGTAAGACACAGTGTCAGAGCATTGCAGGTTCTGGGAATGCTTTAGAGGCAGCCTGGCTCCAGCTGACTCCTGACACCCAGAGGCTCTTTGCTGGTGGGGGAGGGAGCAGCCATGTGGAATCAAGAAGGCAGATAGGGAATGAGTGTAGGATAGAGGGCCTAGTAGGAGGAGGAGGCTAGCCAGGGATATAACCCTGGCCTTACTGTGGAGCCTGACTCTGCCTCACGGATGCTGTTCCTGAAGCATCAGCTTAGGTAACCTTAGGGGCAGTAAGGCTATAAGAGGACCTTGGAGATCAGGGATCTATGGGATGACCAGCCAGGCTACTGAAGAGAAAGGTGGTGCTCCTGTGGCCACAGGGTATGGTAGCGGTGAATGTCCCCTGCAGTCACGTTACATGCAGAGCTGAAATCCCACCCATGGACGGAGCTGGTCCACCCCAGCTTTGAGAGTCCATGCTTGACAAGGAGAGTCACTCTTCTCCTCTGTTCATTTACTCCAAGCACACACATGTATGTGCATGTATTATGATTTTTCTCCAACATTCTTTCAGCTATTCTAAAAAGTTATACTATTTTAAAGTAGATACGTATATTCCTACCACCTAGATTCTATGATTAATGTTACTAGTTTTTTCTCAGATCTGTCCATCCCTTCTTCCATCTACTCATCAATCCATCTTCTTTTTTTCCTGCATTTCAAAGGAAGTTGCCAACCTGTAGACTGACTTACAATTTACTCATCTAGAATATACCAAATGAATCTAGGTGGGGCTAGGAGTGTTGATTAAACTATGGGCCAGGTTCTGTTATAAACATTTCCTTTGGATGACGACAACAACATTCTCTGAAGTCAGCACACATCCCCTGTGTCTGATGAAGGAGACTGAAGACTGGAGTCTGGAAGCACTCTGCTCATTTGCATGCATCAGGGCAAAGCTAGACAGAGACTCTGGATGCCTTAGACCCAGGATGCCATTGTCTGACTGGCCTTGCTCCCTGGGAAGGGTCTTGGGACTCATTCACAGTACTTGTGAGCATTGCTCTTGGGCACCCAGCCTATACACCGGAGAGAAGAAGCTACAAAGTGGAAAGCTGGGTGGGGTGGAGTATGAAGGTGCTGTAAAACACAAGGACATTAGGGAAGCTGGAAAACACACCCAGGACTACAGAGCACAGCAGGGGGCCCCTTTGGTCAAGGAGGCCTTCCAGTGACCCCTGCTTGCTGGGAACCAGTGATAGTGACATCCATAGTGGTGGCCCTGAAAGGGTCAGTGTGTGTTCATGTAATTTGCTTAATGGGGTCAGTCTTAGAAATGTTTCCAGTGACAAATTACAGAAGTACCCAGGGCAGCAGTGTGACAGGCCTCATCCTTACTTGAGTGTCTCCTCAGGCCCTTCCCCTGTGGGGCTGGCACAGTGGGAACCAGTTGTTTTGTTTTGTTTTGTTTTGTTTTGTTTTGTTGAGACACAGAGACAGAATTTCACTATATCTCCCTTGGTAGAGTGTTAACGGCTTCACAACTCACAGCAACCTCAAACTCTTGGGCTTAAGTGATTCTCTTGCCTCAGCCTCCCAAGTAGCTGAGACTACAGGCACCCACCACAACGCCCGGCTGTTTTTTTTTTTGTTATAGTTGTCATTGTTTGGCAGGCCTGGGCCAAGTTCAAACCTGCCAGCCTTGGTGTATGTGGCTGGTGCGCTGAGCTATGGGCACTGAGCCTGGGAGCCTGTTCTTGACTTTTAATCTTCTTCTGGTTAAGAATTTTTTGGCTTGGCTCAGTGCCCATAGCTCAGTGCTTATGGCGCCAACCATATACACCAGGGCTGGCGGATTTGAGCCTGGCCCAGCCCTGCTAAACAACGATGACAACTACAATTTAAAGAGAGAGAGAGAAGGGGGAAAAAAAAAATATATATATATATAATATACACACACACATATATATTATGAGGATAATTAATGACCTAGTACATGGTGGGGGAAGGGGAGAGCAGAGAGAGAAGGAGGGAGGGGAAGGGGGAAAGGAAAACCGAGAGGGAAGGGGAGTTCTCTGTGCATGACATACCTGGTGAGGGCAAGACACAGTTGTAAGAGGGACTTTACCTAACAGATGCAATCAGTGTAACCTGGTTTCTTGTACCCTCAATGAATCCCCAAGAGTAAAAAAAAAATTAAAATAGCCAGGCGTTGTGGTGGGCACTTATAGTCCCTGCTACTTGGGAGGCTGAGGCAAGAGAATCACTTAAGACCAAGAATTTGACATTGCTGTGAGCTGTGACACCACGGTACTCTACCAAGGGCAACATAGTAAGACTCTGTCTCAAAAAAAAAAAAAAAAAGAATTTTCTTGGTTAGATTAAATCACTAGTGGCGTTAACCTCATTTCCCTGTGGTTTTTAGAGATAAAAGCATTTCAGGGCAGCTTTACCTTCCTATCAGCTGATAGGCTTGACTGCAGTTCACCTCTAGGTGACAGAAACCACCACCCCCTCTCATCCATCTCTGCATCCATGGTTGGGCTTCTCACCCTGACTGGTGCTGCCTTTCAGGGGATTATCTTAGGGCCATTCGGGGAAGGTAGCTGTGAGGTCCCCTCTGACCTGGGTGGTCAGCACCACCCTGGCCTGTGGAAGCCAGAATCCCAGCCCAGCACCCTCACACTTCCAGTCAGAACTCTGTTTTGCTCTCAGTGAAAACTTGAGCATTATTAACAGGGTAGCATCCACTGGCTTCACCGTGGACTTTGTCATGCAGAGAGAGATCTGCTGAGAATAACAGGAGGCAGGAGACCTTTGCATAGAGATGTAATATTTTACAAAGTCCCCTAATCTCTAGTTTTGCCCTTTGGAGTGGTGGAGTTCATGTGGTCAGCACGTGTGCATCAGAACTGTCTGAGAAGTCCCCAGGGAGTGAGGGCAAAACCAGGCCCCTGTGAAGGGCTCTGTGGTGCTCCAGCCCCCCCGTGTATCTGAGTGAAATGGCCTTTTTTCAAAGAGGTTTTTTTCTCTCTGCTTTTTCACTTTTCCTGTTTTCATAATGTTGCTAATGATGATGGTATTTTAATGTGCTTCATTCTTGTCACTTTTCCATTTTGTCATACTGCTGATGTTGTTTTCACATGGTCCGTTCTTAATTCCAGGTCTGTCTGTTTTGTTTTAATAGGACAAGGGCTCAGAGGACTGGACGTGCTCAGATGTCGGTGTTCTTCTCCCCAGTTCTTGACCCCCGTTCTGTCTCCAGCCCATCTCGGCTTATCCACTTTGACTCCTTTGAGCCGTTTGGATGGGCGGTTTCTGGTAGTTGTGGCTTTTATGCTTTCAAAGAATTCCTTCAGCCCAGAGAGTCCCTCCTGGCAGCCCTGTGTGTGTCACCGTGGGTGACCTGCAGCAGTCGGTACCTTCGGTGCACCTGTTGCTACCGTTGCTTTAGTCACTAATCACTTTCTGATTTGAAAGATGCAGTGGTTCCTCCCTCTCCTGAATCCTCTCCTACACCACACCCCACTGACCTGTGCGGCACACCAGAGAGGGATTCTTCCCAGACTGGCTGGAGTCGCTGGCATCTCACTTTATGATAGGGAAAGCTTCTACTAGGGCACTTTACGTCAGTGGCAGCCCCTTATTTGCACTTCACCTTTGACCACAACTGTTTCCCCAGAGCAGGAGCTTGTGGAAGTAGCTCCTTGGAGGACGCTGCAGCCCACAGCAAGTGCTTCTGTCTCGGGAACCCTTTGGGGGCACTTGTCAGCGTCTTTCCTCATAACATGTCATCACTAACATAGTAAGGTATGTGCTGTTTGTTGAACTTTCAGAAACAAAAAGGAAGTCCTGCACTCAGTGATGTCATTCTGTACGTCTGCTGTGTTACAGCAGTGCGACACTTGGCACAGGGGGGTGATGCACAGTGCTTGGTGTCCACGAGACAAACACAAATATTTAAAGTGGCAGCTTTGCTCCATTTGGTGAAAGATATATGGAGGTCACAGCCCCCAACTGTGGGAAGTTTCTGGGGACGTCCCAGGGTAGAGCTCCACATCCCTGGTGCGTATAACCCCCAAGACAGTTCACATGTGTACGTTTCAGTAACCTCATCCAATGCCTAAGGATTTAGCAGAGAGGAACACTGCGTCTTTAAATGAGAAAGCGTACAATTCTTTTTCCTTCTACAGCATGTCAGCACCTCAAGTTCATTTTTCAACTTATGATATAACAGTTTGTAATAAAGCCTTTGCAAGCTCACAACATGAAGCACTACTCTGTCCAGTACTCACAAGTGTTTCTGGTGCTGCTGCTCATACCATCAGGACCAGTGAGCACTCAGCCATGTTGGAGCTCTGTCCATATTTTCTGATCTCTTTAAGTACCTGTTCTGCCACTGTGTGCTGTGGAGTTGACTCGGTGTTCTGTCCCAGTGCGGTGCCTCCTCTTGACTCCCCCACTGCTCTCTGTGGTGAGAAGTTTGCCTTGTTCAATAACTACTGTACCCTCGCATGACTGTTACAGCTTCCTGTGCAGAAATGACTGTCCAAGTGCCACATGCCTATGATTGACATGAAAAATCTATTGTTACCTCTGAGTTGTATTCCACGGAAAATACTATCCAGCAGATAATTTAGGAAAAATTAATTCTATTTTTAGCTTTTCATTTCTCAGCTGTCCTTTTTTTCTTGTTTGATTTTTGACAGCAATGGAGAATGGGGTATATATAAAGACTGCCTGCTAATATGAACAGAAATGCATTTGTAACTCATGAAAATAAATGTACATCTTCTATCTTCACTTTCATGTTAAGATTTCAGTGTTGATTTCCTCTGGATCAGCATGTCTGAATGGACAGTCAAGTTCAGTTTGTGCTTATCACAGAAATGCTCATGGGCCTCATTTCGTTGCCTGCACACTGCCCCTGCACTTTGGTTTACATGAGATGATTTACATAAAACGTGTTTCTGTAAGGTCCTTTTTTTCTCTGCACAGCAGAGAATCAATTCTGTCCTTTTCCTTTATTGAAATCATGGGTCTTAAATATTCTGTCAGACTTGGATAGAGGAGTCTAAACATCCCAAGCCTGATTTTCTGGTTCCTTCTAGGTATTTCTGTGTGCCCCACAGCTGCTCCTGGGCAGGGCCACTCTCCCTAGAGCACTGAGGATTACACCACATGGGGCTAAAGAAGGATGGCTGACTCACCCTAGAAATCAGAGCCACATCTCAGTTCTGCCCTGAAATACATCTTTTCTTTTCCATACTCAAAGAGCTACTGTGTAAAGGTCCACACAGCATTGACAGGAGACAGAGAATTTGACTTTGATTTGATAAAGTTGATAAGTTAGTTTTCTTTTTTTGAGACAGAGTCACACTTTTTCGCCCTCAGTAGAGTGCTGTAGTGTCATAGCTCACAGCAACCTCAAACTCTTGGGCTTAAGCGATTCTCTTGCCTCAGCCTCCCAAGTAGCTGGGACTATAGGTGCCTGCCACACAACACCTGGCTTTTTTGTTGTTGTTGCAGTTGTCATTGCTGTTTTAGCTGGCCGGGGCCATGTTAGAACTCGCCACCCTCAGTATATTGGGCTGCCCTACCCACGGAGCCACAGGCGCTGTCCCAGTTTTCATTTTTAAAAGAGCATTGACAGTTTTATTACTTTTGTTTCTTTATACTTTTAAAATGGAATGTTAGTATTATTATGAGACTAGTTTGCAGTCTTCTAATTAGAAAACCACAGCTTTGGCTACTAATACCTGGGGCCTGCAAGCTCTTTCCCATCCCCCTTGCTGGTACTGTGGAGTCAAGTTGGCATGAAACCACTAACTGCATTCTCGAATCACTGTAGCCAGGAGTTGTGTGCTTTTTTATTAATCATGCCAAACATATTTTAACGGGTTAGCGAATTGTCATAATCAAGAAACTTATGAAAAGCACTGGCTGTTAACGTTTGATAGACTCATCTTGGCTCTTCTTACATTTGTAAAAATGTACAGGTCATCTAAATTCATATCGGTGATGCCTCCATTATCGGTATACTGAAATAAGCTTTCAGACTAATGGCTTTTTTGATTTCTTAAAAATGTAAGCAAAAAATTCCTGTTGAAACATTCCAGTCTTTTCAGTTAGTATGAAACAAATACCTAACAAGCCAGTCGGATAGATTGGGGAGGACTCTGCATGAGCATTTTGTTCTGACACAGTCTTCAAAGCTGGCAGAGGTACGCAGACCACCGTGGCATCTGGGTGGGAGAACATCACTGTGTTCTATGTGTGGTGCATGGCACGTGGTGTGTTCACACTCACTGCAACACTCCTGCATCTGGGCACAGGCAATGGGTGCGGAGGTCACCAGTAGCTTTGAAAAGCTACTCAGGGGTTGTCTGTAAAGAATCATGAGAGTATACCACCCATACTTCATGCCACATAATATTCAGACCATTCAGAAGAGACTGTTTTATCTTTATTTGCTTCTGTGTTAATATGGTTTTTAATTGGTAACTTTTATATAGTATGGTAACAGTCTGTTAATATACACATGCATATGCACACATACTTTGGGTCCCTCCATAATACTTTTATATTTGTAAATCGATGTTTTGGAGTAATCCCAAGTTTAAGGGAAATATTTTTGTAAATGTAGTGGTTTTGAAAATCTGAGCAATCCTTTGGCTTACACATTTTTAAAGCATTTGTGCTTTAAAGCTGTCATGCTGGTGTTGGAAACACGATGCCCTGCAGTGCCAACAGGAAGCTGCAATAGTGAGTCTGACCAGGCTTTCTTGTACTGGCACCACCTTGACTGGGTGTGTCGGGAGCTGGTGGGAATCCAGAGGAACCTGCAAGGGTTGCACCAGGTTTTCCTGAAGCTTGTTGCCTTTTTTTGCGCTGTTTATCTGTGTAGAGCACTCAAGAAAGTTCTGAAACTGCTTTGTATCTGCTTTGTACTGTTGGTGCCTTCTTGGTATTGTACCCGAAAATTCTGCATAGATTATTTAGTACAATGGTAAGTTAAAAAAATGTTAAAGGAAGATTTTATTAAGAATCCGAATGTTTATTCATTATATTGTTACAATTTAACATTTGTGGTATTTGTGATTTGGTTTAATCTGTATAAAAATTGTAAGTAGAAAGGTTTATATTTCATCTTAATTCTTTTGATGTTGTAAACGTACTTTTTAAAAGATGGATTATTTGAATGTTTATGGCACCTGACTTGTAAAAACAAAAACTACAAAAAAAAAAACCTTAGAATCATTAAATTGTGTCCCTGTATTACCAAAATAACATAGTACTGTACATGTGTAGTTCAATTGTAATTTCATATGTGAAAGTATGAAATCACGTAGTCATTTATTACAGTATTTTCTTTTTTCTTTAGAGACAGAGTCTCACTTTGTCACCCTCGGTAGAGTGCTGTGGTGTCACAGCTCACAGCAACCTCCCAACTCTTTGGCTTAAGCGATTCTCTTGCCTCAGTCCCCCAAGTAGCTGGGACCATAGCTGCCTGCCATAACGCCCAGCTTTTTTGTTACAGTTGTCACTGCTGTTTTAGCTGGCTGGGGCTGGGTTCAAACCCACCACCCTCAGTATATGGGGCTGGCGCCCTACCCACTGAGCCACAGGCACCGCCCTACAGTGTTTTCTAAATAAGTACATATGTCTTCCTAATTTGGCTTTGCTTATGATGATTTGTGAGAGATCACAGGCTGCTCCTTCAGACTTCAGGGGGGATTTTAGTGCTTCATCAGGCTTCTAGGTGGCTCTTCAGACCTTGCAGTGTAAGGAGAAGCAGCAATGCCACGTCCATCTTTCCTTATTTACTGAATTTCAGGAAGCCCACTGCTGGGGCAGAGACCATGGGCAGCCTTCAGACCAAGAAGTCATGACTGTATTAGGGGCTCTTGGGCATTTGGTCTTTGTCAATACTGGGCATTGTGCAGTGACTTATGTATAAGACAGAGATATTGAAAACTGTTTTTAATGTGATGTAGAAAGAGCACAGGTTTTGGACCCACAATACTGGGTTTAAAACCTGCCCTTCTGCTTAGGACAGCAGCTAGCTTTGGGCCAATAATTTTACACCTCTCTGCTTCAGACTATTCAGCTATAAAGTGGAGCCAATATTACTTGCCTTGCATGTAGTAAAGATTGCAAAAATATTTTTCATGTGTCTAGCAGGGTACCTTGAGCAAGTACTCAGTAAATAGCAAATCTTCCTGAATGCTTTCTTATTTCATTAAATTCTGTTGTAAGGTGTCACTAAAATATCTGCTAATGAAGTAACTCCTTTAATTTGAGAGAGGCAGACCTCTCCCATCAGAAACTTTAAGCTGATCCTGCCTAAACTGGAAGCATTTGATGGGGTGTTTGAAATGCTTGTAGGAATATTGCCTTGGCTTTCAGAGTTGTAATGCTCTTATAGAAAACAACTGAAACGAGTCTAATCCTCACGTTTCCCTACTTTCAACAGGCTGTTTACCTGAGCAGAGGCACAGCTGCTGCAGCTGGTGCTTGGCCAGCATCTGGACTGGCCAGTCCACTGCGTGTTAGAGGAGCAGGAGGAAACAGTACTGACTGCCCCTGCAGCCCGTGGTGGGGGAGGCTCAGGGAGGGGCAGTGAAGGGCCAAGGGTCTCCAGGATGGTCTACAAGGAAGGAAGCAGCAGAAAGATGATCAGCTTGGGGCTGGGACAGTAGGATCCACATGGACATGGGGCTCGTCCTCTGAGCCTGGTTCCAAGAACAGCCAAAGATGAAGTCATTAGCTAGGTGGAGAGGAAGACATGGAGGAGGTAGTACCTTGGGACATATCTTTTTGTTCTTGTTGTGGTTGCAGTTTTTGGCCAGGGCTGGGTTTGAACCTGCCACCTCTGGCGTATGGGGCCTGTGCCCTACTCCTTGAGCTACAGGCACCGCCTGGGACATGTCTTTTTCAGGTCAAGGGTGAAGGACTCCCATGAAAGTCACGATAAGAGGATTGCCTGCCACTGGAGGCCTGTAGTGCCAGGCTAGGATGTTCTCCCACCCTGGGTGTCATGTTGGCTGCAAACCCCCCACCACCCGCCTGTCCCCCAGCAATGTGGGTAGCCTGTCTCCCCTTCAGGGCAGTCCTCGTCGGCCCAGCAGTTAGCCAGCGGGACAGACGGGTGCTGAGAAGGGCAAGAGGGCAGTCACCAATGCCCCCGGGTCGGGGGTTCTCTCCTCAGCAACAGGCAGCAAGGACAGGACCCCTCCCCCCCTTAGTCCCACACCAACCAGGCTACCCTGAGTTTCCCACTGGGACAGGAAAAGCTGGAGGGTGCAGATGAAAGGAGGCGAGGGATAGGGGTGCCATCTTCCAAAGATAGAGTGAGACCTCTCTTGACAGTTCTGTCCCTGATGGGCACGGAAGTGATTGTTTGAGGTCCAGCTCATCTAGTCCAATTTGATTGACAGAACAGGCCCTTGGAAGACTAAGTTCATGGTGCTTGGTGTGCCTGACAGAGGTGCCAGGTTGACAGAGTGCAGGAGGACTCTGCAGTCCCTGGGCCCAGGTGGAGAAGCAGGACGCCACACTCTTGATGAGAGACTCCCAGCCACTCTCTCCATGCTTGCACTGCTTTAAGTCAGGGACACTAATGCTGGGACAGAGTCACAGAGTTACGGGGGTCTGCCAGGAGGGGAAGGCAGGTGAGGAAGGCACCACAAGTGCCAGGAAATCTCACACAGTCCTACTCAGGCCAGAGATGGCTGTTGCTGTCCAGGGCACATAGCTTGGTGTTAACATAGCGCCAGTGTGGCAGGAAAGGCTGAGGTCCTCCAAGA